TCCCCCGCCCCTGCCTCCCCCGGCCGCCGTTGTCGTGCCCCCAACCGGATCGGGGCACATCGGCCTTCACTGTCCCCGCCCTGCAGGGGATCCGGCGGGAATGCCCCGACCAGCTCGGTGTGGTGAGCGCGTGGGGCTACAGCGGGAGGACGACGACCGGAGCAGCAGGGGCAGCCTGCCGTTCCTCGACACTCCAACGACCGCAGATCGAGGCTGATGCCGAAGACGACGTTCTGCACGCGCCACCAATCTGCTGCAGAATGAGAAGCGGGGGCTAATTGCGTTTTTTATTTTTGATTTAGGGGTGTCTATGTAAAATTCTAGGGTCAAGTTTGTAATTTTAGATTAAAACCCATCTCGTACAAAAAGTTCCGCCACGTAGGCAAAAAACAGGCCCCGCCTGTCATAAACTCACTTAACAGAGCCAAATCTGCCAATCAGTGGTTTTTGCAAAAGAATTACGCAAGATGTGGTGCTTTCTGCAGCGAATTTGTATCCTAGTGTTTTTCGCAAAGCTAGCCCTCAAAGTGGTGGTTTTATCCTTTTATCATCTGATTCGTGACGTACTCCTGATTTTGACGGACCAAGGTAGAGGTAGAAGGACGCAGTCAGGAAATTATTCTTCCTAAATCTTTGTCTTTCTACAGATTTCAACAAGTGACTACATACGGAGCAAAATGAGTAAATCTACACTAAAATATGTCTATATACATCCATACGTGATAGTCCATTTGAAATCTAAAAAAACAAATACGGAGTATTTACGAACAGAGGGACTACTAGATAGAAGGGGAAATCCCTCGGTGCACATGGGTGCTACTGCCCCTGATAAATTAAAATTAATTTAGTAAATACAGAAAAAGTCAAAAAATGCCGAAACTTTTTTGAATACGAAGTCGACGTACCATTATACACGTATAAAAAGTTCAAGGCAGGAATAAAATTCCATTGACCCCAGACAAGAAAAGAATTTCTAAGGGTACTGTTCATGTACAGTAACTTTTATAGTCTTCATTTTCTTTTCGGCCGGGCGCAATACCCTGAATGTATTTCTTCGTGAAACTTTTTATATTGATACTAATGTTGGACATGTACATTTCCAGAAATTTTCAAGATTTTTTGAACTCTTCTTGAATTTTTAAATTGTTTTTGCCTGGTGCAGCAGTAGCCGAGAGCCACAAGTTCCCATCCAGAAGGAGCCTTCTTTCTTCTATATATAAAGACTATCGGGAGGCAAGACGTACGTACCGGTTGTTGTGGCCCAACTGTCACCATAGTACGCTTTCTCTTCCAAGATCAGCCTTTGCTTCGCCTTTTCATCTGGTTCCTGCATATGGTGCTCTTTTTCTTGTATTCTGTCGCAACTTTACGGTGCCCATGAGCGCACTTGTTCTCATTCAATTTTCGGGGTTTGTTGACAAACTTTGCTCTTTTGGTCGGATAGATGGCGATCATGGTGCGGCGATCAACCATGGTGAGGCCGGCGAGGGAGACGTTGCGGACTCGGCTATGGAACTCCCACCTCGACCTACTGGTGCCGCGCTTCCACACGCCCAGCGTCTACTTCTACCGCCGCCCCGTGGAGATAGCAGCCATGGAAGGCTTCTTCGACGGCGAGCGGATGTGGCAAGCGCTGGCGGAGGCACTCATCACCTTCTACCCGATGGCTGGCCGCCTTGCCCGGGACAAGGAGGGGAGGGTGGAGATCGACTGCAACGGTGAGGGGGTACTCTTCGTCGAGGCCGATGCGCCGGACTCCACTATCGCTGACTATGGCGACTTCGCGCCCACCATGGAGCTCAGTCGCCTCATCCCGGCCATTGACTACACCCAGGAAATATCATCCTTCCCACTCGTCGTTCTCCAGGTGAGCTTATTTTTTTAGTAGCAGTTACAGTTACAACAATGAGCTCCATGTGGTCCTCAGTCCAATATTGGGAGCTTAGAGGCCACACAACACAACTACCTCATGCTGTTGGAGGTTGCTTATATTAGCTAACGCCAAGAGTTTACCTTCATTGTGTTTGATTACCGTAGTTGACGACCTCATTAGGGAATCTCTAAGGCACACCCTCAAACCTCCCGCAAGCGTCCAGACCGAGCTGTTCTGACGTAGTTTGCCATCGGCAAACTGAAACCCAACTGAAGGGGCTTTGTGGGAGTTCCGACATCCGTCTAGCCAAACAAAAATCACCACACACTCTCGTTCGTGTTGAATGGCCGAAGGCTGCAGCTATTTATTGGAAGAAAAATGTGATTAGTAGTGCATTACTCCCTCCGTTTCAAAATATAAGGTGTATTGGTTTTCATGCAAGTCAACCATTTGAATGTTTGACCAAGATTATAGAATAAAATACTCCCTCCGTTTGTTTTTAGTCCGCATATAAGATTTGGTCAAAGTCAAACTTTGTAAAATTTGATTAACTTTATTTATAGAAAAAAATATTAACATCTCCAATACTAAAGTTATATGTTATGAAAATTAATTTCATCATGCATCAAATATTATTGGTTTCATAGTGTGGATGTTGATATCTTTTCCTGCAAAGCTAGTCAAATTTTAAAAAGTTTGACTTTGACCAAATCTTATATGCAAACTAAAAAGAAACAGAGGGAGTAACAGCATCCGCAATACCTAGTAGATAAAATATAAAACTACTTTTCATGATGGATCAAATGATATACATTTCGTATTGTGAATGTTAATATATTTTTTTAATAACTCAGTCAAACCTGCACTCGTTTGACTTTTCAAAATATAAATACACCTTATATAAAGGAACGGAGTGAGTAGTATAGTTGTTTGGCGGAAGGCAGCAAGCTAGCGAGCTTGTTTTAGCGGAAGGCACGTAGCTGGTTAGCCAAACATGATTAGCGTAGATAGTTAAATGCTGATTAGTTGTTCAAAAAGTGTTTGGCGAAAGGATTGTTTGACGCGGAGCAATAGACCAATGCTTTTGGCGGAAGCTGATGCAAATGGATGCATGGCAGAAGCTCTCATGCTAATGGCTGCATTTAGCGGAAGCTACACGACTATATGGATGCATTTGGTGGCGGAACGTATAGATTAGTGGTGCTAAGCATGAAGGTAATATTTAAACAAAGTTGATTTGGCGGGAAGGTGTGCATGTGCCTTGGCGGAAGACAATATTAAGCAAAGTTGATTTGGCGAAGGTGTACATGTGTTTGATTTTACCAACACAAGCAACACGAAGAACATTTGGTATTTGACGGAAGGTGTTTCATCTCACTAACACCTAATTGTTTTCGAATGGATGCGGGGATGGATGGATGGCCGGTATCAGTGTCCAGTGTCTAGA